ACTGAGAAGTGCAGAGGCTTTGATGTGGAAAGTGACAGATGACGGCGATGATAATTTTGATGATAATGATTTTCTCACAGGCTGGTAAGAGGATGGTGGCAGCACGAAGTCACACACACACGCAGACTGTGTGTGTGGACCAATCATAATAAACGCAGGCCTGCATCCACTACTCTCACCTTATTATAAGTATCTATGAGCAGGCTGAAGACAAACCTCAAGGTAAAGAAAAAAAGGGGGATTCTCGTGATATGGAGGGAAAATAATGTGCACCAAAAATCTTCTGAATTCCTGAAAACACTGAAGATAATCTGCCAATTAACCTCCTCTCCTCTGCTTTTGTTGCACTGAAATGTTGGACCATTAGCTCCATTGTACAGAAGGAAGTGAGGGAGACTTGAATCTTAAAATGTCACGCTGGTATCTTAAAATTTTCATTAATTGCAGCAATCACAGAATTGCTCATTTCCGAAGGGACCGGCGGCTACGCTTCCCGTTTCCTCTTCTGCTGCCCGCAGAGGGGGAGAGGAGTGTGCAGCCCACAGATCTGCTCAGGATTGTGTATAAATATTCGATAGGACACGCTTACTCTCTAAATACCTCTGGCCTGACCGCTGGTCCCCCGGGAGACCTGCAGAGCTACTGAGAGCGAGGCACAGAAGAGCAACAGAGGAGAAAATACAAAACGAAGCGTCTCTCTAAGCAACGAGTGCATCAACGTATCTGTGGTTACATTTATGTTCCTGAGCAAGAAAGAGAAAGAAGGAAGCCCCCTCCTGTGGTGCTCGGGGGGTCCGTCCATTCAAGAGCCGCACGTGGCTAATTAGCATATTTGAAAGTCAGAGCGGCGGGGTTGGGGGAAGCTGGGGCGCCACCCCCCCTCACATACACAACAGTAAAAAAGAAGGAAAAGAGGAAGCCCAGTGTCTGTGTGTTCGAGTCAGAAATACTTCACATTTTCATAAAGCTGAAGTCGGGAGGCGACTGGAACCGTGCTGACATTTCCCAGAGTTCACACACTCACTCAGACAGGCCAACTCCACAGAGGTCGCGGGCCTCCGTGTGACCCACGGCAGATATCGCCTACATTTCTGCACGTGCAGCCTTCCTATGGGCCGTCTGCCTCCTCACACGCAGACAGGACAGCAGCAGACTGTGTTTATGTCAGTGCCAAAGGACCTCACGCCTCCTGCTGCAGCTCTGTGTTTAAATCTGCGATTATTAAACAATGAAAATGGTTCAAGTGGCATTAATACGTCTGCTCCATCAAACCTGAGGTAAAGCCTGACAAATAACAGGTGCTCAGATAGAAATCCAGAACTTCTGACTACTTCATCCACCTCCAAGTGTCAAATCTCCCATATGAACAATTAGCCGTCTTCCCCAAAACTGCTTTGTTTTTTATTTCACGGCCGCCCCCTGACACCAGCAGTTCGGGGAAGACGGAGCTGAGAAACAGCTGACACAAAATCAACAGCCGCTCACAGTAATTAAATCCTTTCTTCAGGGCATTTACTCACCAACCTTTGACTCCAGGGGATGCTGTGAATGCATAGCAGGGCCGGAAGGGGGAAAAAACAAGTACAATCGTTTTATTAGCCGGTTAATAATGCACAGGCTTTACATCCAGTGATGCAACTGGGCAGTTTTTTTTAATTCTTATTATTTTCCAGGATCAGAATTAATTGGTGTTTTGTGGAAACCGCGTGCAGACCAGGGAGAACCCCGGCCTGCCAATTACCTACGCGGGCTCCACGTTTCATCCGAGGAAGATGAAAAACGCTGCGCAGGCCCTTATCGGACGCAACAGAGCAAATTAAAATTTCACTCTAGTGTTGCTAATCAGCATCGCGCTGGCTGGCCGAGACAGATGTAAACAAAACAACATAAACAAACGGCAGGCGGGGGGGCTGCGAGAGGGGCGGGGCTGAGGTTGGACCGCTTAGTGCTGACGAAAGGGCTTCAGGCTGCCACGGCCAGAGGAAAGAAACACAAACACTCAAGGACACCCACACACACACACACACACCTGCGTGTCCGTTTCCTGACCAGACCCCGTGGGCCGTCCATCTGATGCAGAACATGCACCATAAATTAAATCCCAGCAGCCACACTCAGGCCCATCACTATGCACAAGGCTCCCCGAGATAGCCGCATAATACAAAGTGACATTGATGCATTGCTCCCATTATAAAGTCTTTGTTCGTATCACACTAATAATTCATAAGAGAGAAATGTAAACAGTATGCACTGGAGAGCACTGCGAGCAGGGATCATTTCAAGGTAAGCACATTACCCAAGGATGGGATTCGGTCGAGCCTTTGATAACGCAGAGCTACCGAGCTTTGATTTCAATTCTAAGGAGAAGAAGAAAAACACACACAAAGGAAAACACTGAGCATAATAGCGACAAATTAGTGGAAACTGTAAATATCCATTAATTTTTGTTTTATTAGGTCAGATTTTAAAAGAGTCGCTGCTGTAATTATCTCAGCAACACTATCTCGCTCTTACTAGGCCCTCATTATTATCTGCTAATTGCTTTTTTCTTCTGTGTGTGTTGTGTGTGTTCTGATTAGGAGACAACAGACGGATGCTCGTCACATATAGGACGAGACAAAGAATTTCATTTGCGATGTAAACTTAAATAAGTCATTAAAATTGCATGTGGTGTTGTAGCGGTGCAATAGTTGCATGGCGTGCGTGAGGAGGAGCCACAACAATGCTCAGCTGCCCTCCAATCAAACGCAGCACGGGAATTAGAAAAGCAGGTTCAATGTCATTTTCAGGAGTGTCGACACGCACCTGCACACACACACACAGCCTTCAGTTTGGTGAATGGCCACTGTAGTGGGATGTTGTTGTGGGGGGGGCGGCAGTGTAAATGAGGTGCACTCGTTTCGTTCACAGCTTGCTCCTGAAGAGAGGCAGTGGGGAGGGAAATTGAATTTGAAAGAGGGGAAGCTGTGCCAACAGGTGACAGAGGCGTGCTTCGACCAAACGCGCTCTGAAGTGAGGCGCAGTCATATCACGGGGCCAATTTGGAGGCAGCATTATGCACTACACCGCTCTGCGTTTTTCACACAGCCTGTCAGCGCGCAGGAGAGCACCGCTGCCACTCCAAATATGAATTAAACATAGGCCTTTTGTAGCGTGAATATACCGCTGCTGAAATGTTGGTAGAGTCGAGAAAAAACAGAGTAGCACACTCACTTACTCCGAGAGTGGAAAACTGCGACATAAAACTGGTAAATGTGAGAGGAGTTTGGATGCGTGGCGTGTCAGAGTGAACAGAAACGCAGAAGGAATGAAGCTCGTGCACCTGACTGATCTGTCTGCGATTTAATACATATAACTCAAACAGCCACTAATAATTAGCTATTGTGTTGCAGAGTTAAATCGCTCGAGTTTTCTGGTGACCATCTTATCAGTGCATAATTTGCTACGATCAACACAACAGCAATCCCTCCCACGCTAAAACATTCACTTCATTTCCTCAGCATCCAACACAAATTGCCTTTGATTGAAACAATGTAGGCTAATGAACTGCTTTTGTTTCGTGAGAGGCAGACAGTATAAGCTGTGCTCAGCCACCTTGCCCTCCAGTCGTCCAGATGTGCCATCCAGCAGTGCGCATAATTTAGTGCGTCGAAAACAACCTCGCGATAACGGCTCTTCTGGAGAAACTCTATGATGTTTAGGTTCGGGCTTCTCGACTGGCAGCTACTCCCTCGCCTGGCTGCAGGTCTGCAGGCAGCAGAAATGTTGGGGGGCGGGGGGCACTTGCTCCGTCTCCAACACTGTCACTGCTCATGTCCCCAGGAGGAAAGCATTCAGCCTCAGCTGCAAGAGCATCCAACAGCTTCAGGGGCTACAGGGTAAAAGCTGAGGGAGGGCTTCTGCAAAGCCTTTTATTTCTAAATATATCGGTTATTTTACTGCATTATATATTACATGGAAATTAAATAAAATAAATAAAAGTGTTGCACAATTTTTGACAATTCTGTTTAATCAGAATAAACACGTGATTAGTCCTTAAAATTTAGCCCAATAATTCATTTTTTTAAATGTTCCACGCTGAATTCAGCGCGTTTCCTTCTGCTGTGGCAGACACTGCAGCCTTTTGCATGTCTGCTCAGCAAGCAGAAAAATAATGGAAATGATCAAGAGCAAGCTAACCTTCAAAAAACTTCAAATATTGCACTGGAAGGCCTCCAACGCCACAATGTTCCCAAAAGACGCGAACGCATCACCACTCCAGGAAAAACATCCCTGCAAGAAATCCTCCGGATTTTTCCTGAATGCATTCTGCCCAGCGGGGCCACAGGGAGCCAATCAGATGGCTGACTGGGTGTCAACTGTACGCCTGGAGTACACAAAGCTTTTAGCTACTTTACCTCCACTATTCAAATTCCGAACAGGGAATAAACGAGACGCGCAGGAGCGCTCCAGCTCCACGCAGAGCGCGCAGAGGAGGACAGGCGCCTTTTCCACGGGCGCAACGGCCGAGGCCATTTCAACTGAGCTAACAGACGAATGCTGTAGTTTGTTAGCATGTTATCTTCTACGTGAATTTTTCACGGGTGCTTCGAACACAGCACCACCTCAAAACAGGGCCTTTGGCACCACGTCGGCACAGAGGTGAACCTTCCAGCGCGGCCGGGTTTTAGTTTGGCGCATGAAGCTGCAAAACTGAGGAGTACACACCTGCAGTGTGGACATGTAAGCTGTGGTGACAGAACGCGGGCTGTTAATGAGTCCATGTGAATTTTTAAAAAAGCAACTCCAATGCGTCTTCAAAAAAAAAAAAAAGAATACATGAAAGAAATACACGCGCGCAGATTTCTTCCCACTGTTCATATTAAAGCCTCAGTCAGAGGTCTGTGCGTATGTATGAGTGTGTATGTAACAATGTAACACGATTTTAAAGGTCACTCACACACACACACACACACATCATGAGGACACCGGGGGGCCTCACACAAGTTTCCTAAACTCACCTGCGTCCTGCCGAGGCCCTGCGTTGCGTTGCCAGGGTTCATTGCGTGTGGATGGCTCCTCTGCTGCCCTCCCCAGTGGGCCGAAGTGGCTCCATACTGGGACCCCACGTCTTTTCCCGGGCCCATGCCGGCTTGCTGCTGAGCCGCAGGGCCGCTGAAGTCCTGATAGGCACCCCCGTAGCCCCGCATCATCGGGCTGGGGGACGTCAGCAGTTGGTTGAGGGTCGGGGTCGCCCCCGAGGGATGCTGCTGCTGCTGCTGTGGCTGCGGCTGGGTTTGTCCCGGGAACCTCTGGAAGCCAGCCGAAGCAGCTCCCAGAGGAGACTTGCCGTGGCTCGCAGAGGAGTTGCTGCCCATCATCATGTTCCCAGGTTGCCGACATCCAGAGGGGCCCATCATCCCGTAGCCCCCGCCGCCGTAGCCCGCTCGGTAGGCGGGGTACTGGCCGTACTGGCTGTTGTGGTACCCTGCTTCGTGGGAGTTCTCCATGCTGTTATGTGCCGAGGAGTGCGTTATCCCCATCCCGCTGCTTTGTTGCTGCTGCCCGCCATGTTGCTCGTAGCAGGGCCTCGGAGTGTAATAGTTGTTATTGAACTCGGAGTTGTTGCTCGGTGGCCCCAAGTTCGAGTGCTCGTACCTGGCGGCCATCATCCTCTCGGAGGGCTTACAGGTGAGCTCCCCTTCACCTTTCCCTGTCATGTGCTGCTGCTGTGGCTCCTCCTGGCCCCCCAACAGGTTCTCTTTGCCGCTGTGGTGTTGGTGATCCGCGCTCCTGTCCCCGCGGGGCACCTGGCCGTTGTTATTGGCGCTGTTGTTACTTTGGATCTGCCGCTGCTGATGTGGCGCAAACTGGCCGAATTGCGGCGGCGGCTGCTGCGGTGGCTGAGACTGAGGGGGATCTCCGCTCCCCGCACATTTCAGCTTGTGGTTCGCGATCAAACTCGACTCCATCGAGGAAGCGCTCGAATTAGTCGACGCCGTGGCGGACGCGAGGTTATTCCCAGCCTTGTCGTGTCCGTCCGGAGCGCCGTGACTCGTGGAAGTTGAATGGACCATGCTGAGCTCGTTCCGGCGGTGATGATCTACATTATTCAGAGTCCCATCTCCAGCAGCCAGCATCGGTCCCGTTCGCTGTCCTGTACCTCCTCCTCCGGATTTCCCCGAATTGAGCTCGGGACCCAGACCGCCGGCTAGTTTCTTATTTTTGCTGTTGGTTCTGGTCGGAGCCGATGCCACTTGCGCAGCCATGGTCACTCCAACATCTCAGCGCGCAGTGACAGCGAGCCCCGACCAGCCGCGCGCGCACAAAATAACACAGAGGGGAGAAAACACGAGCTCGGGGGTCAAAAATAAAACCCGCGGAAAAAGCTTCGCCTGGCTGTCGCGCTGCTGCTGCGGTGGCGTCAGCGAGGCTTCATCTTCAAAGTTTCTCTGGCAGGTTTAAAGAAACTTTTTGCCTTCCCCCCTCCGCCTCTCCTCCATCCCGGGTCTCAGTAATGTGTAGCAGCGTCTCCTGGAGCCCTTGTGGCCCAGCATGGCACGAGAGAGAGCGGGCTCTACCAGCTTATCCACCTCCAGGGCTCCGGCGCGCCTCACATGGAAAATCCGGACTGGAGTAGCGAGCCATTAGGCACGCCGCGTAACGGTCTTTCCACGTTTACAATAATTTGCGAGTCGATTTCACGACAAAAAACGACCCGCGCGGTGCCAAAACGGTGCTCGCAACACACAACATGCCCCCGGAGTCATCACAACGCCCAGCTTTAATTCATCAGCACATCAGGAAACCGAGACGGAAAAGCCGACCTTTAACTTCAAAGTTTGT